AGTGTATGTAGAACCATTCTCTTGAGTTCATTTCCTTTATGTGAAATGGTATATTGTTCTTGCATTTATCTCCATATCTGTATCCTCTCCTCACACTGTCAGAAGGCTGACAAAATCCTGAATGAAGCCACTTTACCATTCAGGGAAACTTAATGTTAATTCTATAGCTTGGGCAGACAAAAGGTGCCAAAAAGAATAGCTGTCAGCACCAATTACCTTACTCCAAATGGTGAAAGGCTTTGGGGAAAAAAAAAGCATGGGAAGAAACATGAATCTCTTTGAAAGGGCTTCTGGGTATATTAGTTCTGTTCCTTTTCTTCTGACAACTTTGAGGCAACTGCGGTCGTTAATTCCTCCCTTCCCCTTGACCGAGTGCGAGCACAATCAATTTAACACAATTAGTTATTTTGTCCTGTTTAGGCTTTTTATCCATGCTGATATGGATATGATGATCTGAGCATTGTTAGTAGGCCAAATTTTTTGTAGGTGTTTTGTCTTCTGATTACACCAACATAGTGCTATTACAGCGTTTGGTAGAAGGGCTTATGGAGAATGAAGGTGTTCATTTTTCTTCAATACACAAGCGTTACTTTAAGCTAAACAAAACTAATTAATTTTAACGTGTATTTTACCAGATTTCTTCTTTACTAAACCTACATGTTGGCCTATATATGATTCATTCAAGTTGTTCTGACAGTTTTATTTTACAGAGTGGAAAGATACAGCAAGGCTGAATCACACACTGAATGCACATCCTTACGATGGGAGTTCCTCATGATGAATATTTCTGTGACTCATGTTTTTATAAAGAATGCCAAAGGGATGACCATGGGTATATCAGATGTCATAACTTGTAGCTCATTTTACAATAGTGGAGTAACAGTTTAGAAAAACAGCTATTGAAAAGGAATGTTCAGTTATGTTTGCTTTGCAAGACTGCATGCAAACGTGACATAGGATGTGCTAGACACGTCTCGTGACTCTTGAATCACTGGGGTAAAAGGTCTACCGCAAGTAACGACAGATTCGTTGTTAAACAATCCTGTCAGCAAGTACTCCTACAGAAGTATGTAATAATCTGACCAAAACACCTTTTGAGCAATAATGAAAGCTTGCTTTGAACTACATTGGCAGCCTGCAGTGCTTAGTTACACGTCAGTCTGTGGAGATGCGCTGATATAACTACGGAGATAAGTTGTTCCAACATCGCGCGCTTCTAAGGAGGAGGTGGAGTAGAGCGTATCACTGTAGTGGTTGCTTCTGGGGGCTTGAGCCTGCTTCTGATGTCCTCAGGGTGCGAGTCAGAAGTGGCTTCAGTGATAGCAAAGTGGGAAAAAAGAAGATGGAGAAAAGGTCATGTTGCCTGATGCACATTGAGTTGGTTCAGTCAAACTGTTAGGCAACTACTTGGCTAGATCAGATGACAGCAGAGCTTTACCT